TTTCAGCCCCGTAGCTTTTGCCGGTCTCGAGATGAAAAATCGGTACAGACGCGCAGCGCAAACACACACACGCACACACACAGACAACCTCTCGTCAATATGCGTTTTTCGCATTGCATGGCTGCAAAAAACGCATAAAAATATATTACTGCTGGTCATACGGTATTCCTTTTCCGGCTCCAGAGTATGGAAGAGAAACACCTAAGCCTTGAGCGGTTTCGTGCAGCAGTAAGACGTTAACAGTAAGAACGTTGACTGCTTCACACTTTCATATCTGCAGTCATATTATTAATGTTCCCGTTTCTTTTTTCTTCCACTTTCTGCATTATTCAAGCGTAACTTAATTTTATGGCTTTCATTATTGTGGCAATTGTGACTTTAGCTTCACCAATTCTTTGTAACTTTTCCCCTAGGCCGCTGAACTCAGCCCCTGCCTCCTCTTTTGAATTGTTTAGTCCATTACGCAAATTAATCCGCTATTCGGCTCGCTACTATCAATGATTCAAAATGGTGCTGCAGTACTCTGTAGTTATCTGGGCACAGTTTTCCACAGATATTGGTTATAACCGTAACTTGTCACTGCCAGGTTTAAAATTGGCTGTAATCATTTGTAATAAACGGAGCCAGCTGTGCTCCTACTGGAAGTGCCACATGCTCATACGTGAGATCTGGACTTTTGTGTAAGATAAATTTCAAATTTTCCTACTACGACTCACCAAATCTCCCGTAAATTTCAGCTTCTCAGCTCAGCTAGCTCTCGAAGTCGCTTTTCTCCCAAAGATGATTTAACATCTCGTATGTGTAATGCAGGTGTACGCGAGTGGTCATTTCGCGTGTATGGACTCTCATACACATGCAGCATGAATTCTCGTAAAATTAGACAAGCCTACCTGCCCACTTCCTGAGTTGGCATCTTGCCAACTATGGCAAAATTGCAAGGGTGTGGATGCAGTTGAACTGAATTTAAAACGTTTAGCTGAAATAAAGTTGCGGAATGTCCCTACGAAATTTCAGACTTCTAGCCTGGTTCTCAAAACCGTTTTCCCATCAATACATTTACATAAATTTATGAGAAGTCCGTTCGTGAGATCCAGGAGCAGGAGAACGATAATCATTGCGTATCTGGTGGGAACATGCTCCAG